AGAGGGAGGTCTGGGCCTCCCTTCTGAAGCTGCTGCCCACGCGACCCGACCCCGGATAGGCAGAATAAAATGGATGGATGGATGGATGTAATCTTTGTAAAAAAAAAAAAACAGTGACTACGTCATCCCAGTATAACGTAAGGCAGGGCTGGCCCTTGTGCAGTTTTCTAAATCTCACATCCAATTTACATACATTCACATAAAAATTAAATAGTTTTGTCTTTGATATTATTTTTTGTAGTTAGAAACAAGATTTTCCAACTGAATATAGTTCACTTGAAACAAAATACCAGAGATCTACCTTATACCTGCCAGCCTTTGCTGACAGCAATAAGGAACACCTATTCGTGTTAACAAGCAGTTCTAGGTGTGTCTGGGGTCCCTTGGAAAATTATATAAAAGAAAATTCATCCCCCATTTATGGCGCCCTCTATATAGACGGTGCCCTTAGCATTTGCCTACACTGCCTATGCCACGGGCCAGCCCTGACTCAAGGGTAAGTCTTCTAATGGTTTTTTTTAAGTGGTGCTTGAATATAAAAATCTCAGCCTCATTTTGTAAACTGTTATTACCCCGTGAATCCATGCAGCTGAACTGTTTCTCCCAGAACTGACAGGAAGTCCTTGAACTGATCACTCTCCTCGTTGTTACTCAGTATATCCTCCTCTGTGAGCTACAGACAGAGACATCTTATCTGACAGGCAGCGGGTGTGATCAATTGTCACAGTTAGGCTGCATTTATGTGTGAAAACAGAAAGAGTTTTAGCCTTACCTGCCCCTCCTGTTGGTATAATACACCAAACTTAAAATTAGAAGAAACTCTGTGCTCATCAAATGTTGTTATCAGGTCTGGAGCCTGAGGGATGAAGGAGATAAAGGAAGATTTTAGCTGTTTCAACAATTGAACGACAGATGCAGTTGGATGGATGGAGTTAGAGTTAGAGAGGACATAGCTGGACTGAGGATGATTCGCTGTGGTGACCGCTGCAAAGGGAACCACAAAAAGAAGAAGAAAAAAATGCTGATTCAAAGTTCTTTTTACAGAAAGTACAAAATCAGTCACCCCAGGGTTCTGTTTTGAGATTAGAATTCCGTGTTTTAAGACTTTTTAACATCAAATGCCAGGAAGTTTCTCCAAATAGTTCAGAGGTTTACCTTGAGGTAGCTGACCACATCAAACTTTGAGACAGTCACTTTATCGCAGAGCATCTAAAGAAAGAAAAGAATGACTTGAATGGAGGAGTTTTGTGGAAAAAAAACATTTTCTCACAAACAGAAGTACAGTTTCTTCAAACCACCAATGGGAAAATGTTTTACTCTCCCATTTTCCTTTTGAATACATCTAAGACATAAATATAGTGCTGTACAGTAAATAAATGCAGTGTTTTCTGAGATATTTTACTAACAGACAAATAAGATTCATCTTTCAGTGCTCAGATTATATGTTGGGGGTCAGTCTCAGCTACATCAAATTTAAGCTCAATATCTGTAAAATAACAGAGTTGTTGTCTTTTGTCTGCTTTAAGTCCATTAACGTGCCTTAACCTCTCAGTGCTTGATTAAACAAACTCATTTCAGTACTTTGTGAAATAAGTGTGTTTAATGTTGAAACAAGCTTTCAATATTTACTTGAAATTATGCTTCTTGATTTTAAAAGGAGTTCAGAGTTTGTACCTTTGCTAATTCTACAACAGAAGGCATGTTGGGGAAAATGGACACAGAGAAGGTCCCATGCAGCGAACACTCTTTCATCCTGGGGATGGAAAAAAAGAAAAGATTTTTAATCATTTCTTTTTTTGTGTGTGTGTGTGTGTGATGTTGTTACTTGTATTTACAGAATCACATGTACAAATTAAATGTTATTTAGAGGTATAAAAATCCCCTTTAGGATGCTCTGAAAATAATATATTTAGCAGAAAAAAGTAAGAAAACTTGTGTTTGATAGATTATTTCTTTGTTATAACAATGCTTCTTAGCAATAAATCTTATATCATTGGAAAGTCTGTTAATTTCCCCTTTTAAATGGTACCACATTTGTAAGGAGCACACATTTGTGGGTTGCGCACATGAAAATTTTTCCAAATCTTCTCTGTCAAACAGCTTATTTTGCTGTTATTGACACTTGTTTTGAGCTCCTGCCAATCAGGTGCCAGGAATCATTGTTACAACAAAGAAATAATCTATCAAACTTATTTCTTTACTTTTTTTGCTAAGTTTATAGATAAATAAAATTTAACTATATACTGTGAATGACTTTTGTTGAAACAAAACTGGTTATCCGAATGAGATTACTTTGGATTATCACCTCTTTTTTACCATTAATGAACAATCCAGAATTCACTGAGGTAGACAAAGTTATCGTATCTTAAAAGTTGAACTACAAAAATATTTTCCTATGTTTTACCTACATCTTTAAGTTTCAGATTATTTCCTAACTTTTGCAAAAGTTGCATTTCAAACAATGGATTTGCTGCTTTTCTTAAACTCAGACTTCACGTGGGAACAATCTTTTATCTTTCTTTAGAGAACAAAAAAGTAAAGGAGCTGCAGTATTTATCAGAAACTGGTATAGAATAGATAAAAACCTCAGTATCACCCGCAGCCTGTTCTCTTCTTCCTCCAAACACACAGAGAGAACCAGAGGCCCCAGCAGTGGGTCCACTGCTGTGAATGAGTGGTGATACTGAAGAAAACGATAAAACATCAACATCATTCTGTAAAAGTTGACACATTTCCTCAGTCTCTGAGACTTACTCTTGAGCGGAAAAACTCGTGGTAGATTTTGGCCTCTCCGTCTCGCTCCATAATGTCGTAGCTCTCTGGGTCGAGGTGGGAGGAGGTGGGGCTCATGTCTACCAGCTTCTGTAGAGGCGGGTCGATCCAGTAGCCCCCCAGTTTGGAGGGAAGGATGAGAGGCAGGTCTGAACCTATGGTCAAAAGCTGAGACTAAAAGGGTTTGATGAAAGTTTGGGGAAACAGAAAACAGTGTTTGCGGAGGTATTCATACTACTTTAACTTTTCCACGTTTTTACGTTACAACCACAAACTTTAAAGTATTTATTTGGATTTTTATGTGGTAGACCACCACAAAGTATGAAGGAAAATGGTTTTCAACATTTTCAACCATGTTTTCAGTTGCTGTTTGTGGGCCTTTCTGTCTGAAGTTTAGTCTTTAACAAGTGAAATGCTCAATTGGGTTGAGATCAGGTGACTGACTTGGCCATTCAAGAATATTCCACTTCTTTGCTTTAATAAACTCCTGGGTTTGGCTTTATTTTTTGGGTCATTGTCCATCTGTAGTATGAAACGACGACCAATCAGTTTGGCTGCATTTGGCTGGATCTGAGCACACAGTTTGGCTCTGAATACCTCAGAATTCATTCGGCTGCTTCTGTCCTGTGTCACATCATCAGTAAACACTAGTGACCCAGTGCCACTGGCAGCCATGCATGCCCAAGCCATCACACTGCTCTGCTGTGTCTTACAGATGATGTGGTGCTTTGGATCATGAGCTGTACCACACCTTCACCAGACTTTTCTCTTTCCATCATTCTGGTAGAGGTTGATCTTGGTTTCATTTGTCCAAAGAATGTTCTTCCAGAACTCTGCTGGCTTTTTTAGATGCTTTTTTTTTTTAGCGAAGTCCAGTCTAGCCTTTTTATTCTTGATGCTTATGCGTGTCTTGCAGCGTGCAGGGAACCCTCTGTATTTACTTTCATGCAGTCTTCTCTTCATGGTAGATTTGGATATTGATACTTCTACCTCCTGGAGAGTGTTGTTCACCTGGTTGGCTGTTATGAAGGCGTTTCTCTTCACCATGGAGATAATTTTGCGATCATCCACCACTGTTGTCTTCCATGGGCGCCCAGGTCTTTTTGCATTGATGAGTTCACCAGTGCTTTCTTTCTTTCTCAGGATGTACCAAACTGTAGATTTTGCCACTCCTAATATTGTGGCACTTTCTCTGATGTTCTTTTTTTTCTGTTTTTGCAGCTTAAAGATGGCTTGTTTCTTTCACCTGCATGGAGAGCTCCTTTGACTGCATGTTTACTTCACAGCAAAACCTTCCAAATGCAAGCACTACACCTCACATCAACTCCAGGCCTTTTATCTGCTTAATTGAGAATGACATAACGAAGGGATTGCCCACACCTGTCCATGAAATAACTTTGGAGTCAGTTGTCCATTTACTTTTGGTCCCTTTAAAAACAGGGTGGAACATGTTAAGGAGCTGAAACTCCTAAACCCTTCATCCAATATTAATGTGGATACCCTCAAATGAAAGATGAATGTCTGGACTTTATGTCCATGTATAACTATAACTTTAATACGTTTCAGTAAACAGGTAAAAAGACAACATTTGTGTCGGTGTCCAAATACATGGACCTAACTGTGTGTCACATTTCTCAGATTTTTATTTCCAAAGAAATTTTAAAAACCACATATGATTTTCCTTCAGCTATAGTATGCACACCTTTGGGTTATTCCATCACATAGAATCAAATACTTTGAATTGTGTAATAACAAAAGTGTGGAAAAGTTCAAGAGGTGTGAATACTTTTTCAAAAATCTGTTTCCGTTCTTTGAGTTTGTATTAAATTTACTAACCTTCAGAGGTAGTGGGAATTCACATCTTTGCTCATCGATCCTGCTGCCCTGATAGACAAAAGCATTACCAGTGACAAACGTGCTGCTCATGCGCACGAGGTCAATGCCACTAGAACTCACCTGCAGCTTTGCAATGATTTCGAACAGTTCTGCATCCTGACACAGAAAATAGGCATCAGACGGACACGAGTTTAACGAAAAAAAAGGGAAGGAGGAACATGGAGAGGAAGAGGAACAGAACATAAATGATTAACAAGAAAAATGACAATGACTATGACTATGTAATCATGAGAATTTTTTTCACCAGAATTGAAACAAGAAAACTTTTGTACCCTCTGGCTGCTGCTGCTGGAGGAAAGTGGGGGCTTGCCGTCACTTGTTGGAGAGTCCAGACTGTCCTGCAGGTTGTTCTCCATGGATTCAGGTCTGAAGCAACAGGTAGGTTTGCATCAACAACATGGCACAATTTATGTCACCCCTCCTCCTGCTTCTCGCAGTCAAATGAAGTTCAAACACAGGTTCAAAATAGCTGCAAGGGAAGGGGGAAATAAAGCCTCACCTTGTCTCATCCCCACAGGTGATTCTGTCCACACTGCAAACAAGGAAGTGAGAGCAACTTTTTAAAGAACAAAAAGGTTTATTTTTATTTGAAAACCAGAGTTATTTTTCAAAACTAAAACCATCTGACATGCTCGATTTTGAGTATGGCTCACCTGCCGTACGCTCCCAAAGTGAAACTTCTCTTTTTAGAGAGTGACATGTCATTCCTCTTCTCTCCCTCCATGGCTTTGGTGTCACTCTGAATGTTTGTACATGCCAGTTTGGTACAGAGTCAATCAGGGCTGGCTAAGCTTGAATTAATTCTCTCTATCATTCTGTCTCTCCACCTCTCCTCCTCCAACTTCCTCCTCCTCTCCTGCCCCCTGCCACTCACTCATTTAAGCTCCCCTTTCCTCCACGTCCTGTTGCCAGACATACAGGCAGCATTAACCCGCTCACGGTCACATGTGCAGCCTGAGCTCCAGGTATAAAGACTGACTCCTCATTCCGCTCCATGTCACTGATCCATCATATTAGTAGTAGTAGTAGTGTGGTGGTGGCGGCAGGCTGGTTTAAAGATAGACTTGTAAATAAATAAAGAAATGGGTGAGACTTTTTTTTCTTTTCTCTCCCCGGGCACTGTTACCCTTTGAGTCGGTGATAATCATCAATTATTGACAGCACACACAGTGAGGGTGAGGAGGGAGACAGCAGGGGAGGGGGAAGAGGAGAGAGCAGGAGAACGTTAAAAAAGGGAAGTAAGATGGGGGATAATTCGTAGAAAGAGATAAAAGTGGTATGCACAGGTTTTATAAGTTTACATTATACAAAAAAAACATTTAACTTGTATTTTTCTTAATGTAAATTAAATCATGTAGGGTGTTTGCTGGAAATAAAAAAAATTGTAAAACAATAAACTCTTGAAATAAGAAAGCATTAATTTGGCTTATATATTTATTTATAACTATGATTTTCAGTGATTTATGATGAATGTAATTACTAAATGTGGCACTAACACAAAGCTATCAGTATATAAACATTAAGTGTAAATAAAAGTGCTTTTTAATACAAAATCACCACTAATAGATATTGTTTTACTTGTGAAAGTAGATCTTTGAATCTTTTAATTTAATGCGTGGGTTAATTTTAATCTTTAACAATGAAAAAATGACCAACAACATTGTTGTTTTGGTTTTAAACTCATACATACCTAAAATCCTTAATGAAATTTTCTGTTTCATATTATTGAATATTGCTTTATCCGTCCACGTTTTTTACTAAATAGATACATGTGGTGGATTTCTTTAAAGGTTTTGTTATCAAGTGGCTTTTTCGTCAACATTTCAAATTCAAAATCCTCTTATCTACTGTAAAAGTGATGGTCTCTCAGGACTCTTCTTATTGGCTACTGGAAACGCCAATCAAAATTAGCTGAGCGCCCATTGGTTAGAATCCCAAACGGATGGTACTACACCTCCTCCTCCCATCATTCACGTTCATACCCCGCGGAAGTTGATCTGTTGTGGGGAAAAAACTGATAATATGTGTGTTCAATTTGCATGATATCGCGTAGCAAGACAAAAAAACTGTAGAGGACTTTTTTCTCCTTGACGGCTTGGTCTCCTGTCGCGGAAACAGAGCAACGGTAAGTTATGAGTTTAGATAGAATCGTAATAAATAAATGGCACGCAAATGCAGAAAAAGTCGAAGTTAGCTCGCTAGCAGGCTAGCTCTAGCATCGATAAAGGACTGCCAACATTTAGCATTAGCTTGAACTGTCAAGTGAAACTCGTGTTATATAATGTGTTAGTAATAAACATTTAATATGCTCCCATCTTGTGTATCGAATCTTGTAACCTATCTGCATTGTTTACTGTTTTTAGATATAGAAATGCGTACATATTAGCGCACCGCATGGCGTTACATGAATTGTAATAATAGTACGCATCATGTTTGGCTAATAAAGCATCATAAGGGCAAACTATACTGATTGTAGTCGGGGGTGGTTTTTACTGTTGCGTGTTGCAATTAGGGCGTGTTTTTATTCACTCGGACCTGATGTATTTGTTTTTCATGGATCCACCTGTGTGTTGTTATCTGTCTCTGCAGCAAAATGTTGTGTGGTATGTTGGAGAGGGACAAACAGTCTCTTCGGAAATGCTCTTTAGTTTTGTCCAAACAGCTGGTGGTGGATGAGCTGCTCATTCAGTCCCTGCAGGCAGACAACATCCTGACTGAGAACATGGCAGAGACCATCATGGTATGTTATCAGACACAGACAATAATTAACCACCTGTTTGTCAACAATACCAGCAAAGTTTATTCAATCTTGGTTTTTTTGGTCACTTGTGACGTACTGATGTCAGTAAGTATCTTAAGATCATTTGATAATGATTACAGTGACTGATAAATTCATCTATCAGTTGTGGAAATTGTAAGGATGTGGATAAATTTTTAATCCTATACCAATATTAAAACTGACAGCGGATTCCAAAAGAACATTTCAAACCATACAAAATAACACCAAAATCATGTGATTATCTGAAGTATGAGGGAAGTTATTGATGTTTGTTTAGGTGAAATCAGCTCATGTTTTATTGCTGCAGTTCACAGCAGAACCAAAGGGGCCTTTGTGACCATTTCACCTTCCTCTTTTCTAATTATGCTCATAACTTCCTCAGTGTTCAAGATATCGCCATGAAATTTTAGGAAAAGATTCCCCTTCTGGTTTTGTAGGAAGCATCTTGTATCCTAAAAAACTAATAAAACTTAATAATAGCCAATTCAAAAGTAGCAGAAAAGGTATAAAATAACATTACAAGGCAAACTGTAGCATCAAATCAGCTTAATGTGTCTTAGAAAATAAGGAAATTAAAACAATTTAAAAAGCATGTGGACATCTGTTTAGTAAACAAAGCTCCTCAACCAATGACAGCGTGTTAAATGTGTCAAGTGACGAAGACGAGCATCAAAACACTTTGCAACAAGTGCTGTTCCGGATTTAAAAAAAAACATTCTTCAACGTTTCAAATCATTATCAAATTTGGAACAAGGGCAGATAAAATAATGTTCTTCATGGCAGCTTATCTCTTTAAGGGGTCACTAGAAAAACTCAGGTGATTTAATTTGATCCCCTTTTCAAAAAATTGTCTCTTCAAAACGCATCAACAGAAATTAAAAACTGGAAGACGAGGCTGTAGCTAACTACCTGACGGCAGCCCGATTTGTTGAAATTGGTAGAAATAACGAATCAGGAGGAAATTACAAGCAAACGCACCGAGCAGCCTTGCAAAATCTGGTCACAGCAGTTTGGGAAGAAAATGGCAGCAGTTGCTGACGAAATGTCAACATCCCTAGAAATTGCCCTGTTTGAGTTTTGAACAGAGTTTTGAGTTTTATCTTGGCATAGCTCATTTGCACATGATCTTGGCTCCAACTTTTGCTTTAACACTCTCCACCGCTCAGTTCCCTCCCCAAAATAACTATTTCTGTCAACTCTCATCCTCACATCGTTTAGTCATCGTTTCTCTTCAGAAGAAAAGAGAAGAACTTTGCCTTTTTGTCTTTGACCTGGCGTGTCAGATTTCATTGTTCTTCCTCTGTCTCTGTTTACATCTGAGGATTATTTTACCATATTTTTACCATCTGTTGCACGCCATGACTCTCCAAAAGGAAGTCATGTCCAAATGTAAACAAATGTTTCGTAATTCTTGGCAACAGAATGTAACTTTGATGATTTTTTTCATTTGTTATAAATTATGAGGTAAATTTTTGATAGTGAAAGGTGCATATTTAGTTGATATTTTTATTTTAGATTTATTTTAAATATAAAATAAAGAATTTGAATTTTTTTGTTTTTATTTAAAAAGGAACATTTCGTAGAGCTAGAAAGATAAAAAAAAAAATCAAATCTACAGCTGAAATTTACTTAGTTTTCTGTAATGTTTTCAAGTGATCTTTTCATCTTCAGGCTGAGCAAACATCTCAGAAACGCAGCTGGCGTTTGTTGCTTCTCCTGCCAAAGCGAGGACCCAGAGCTTTTAGCAGCTTTTGTTCAGCACTCCGAGAAACTGAGCAGCAGCACCTGTGTGATCTGATCACGCAGTCATCGGAGGAGGATGACAACGAGACACTCGTTGACGTGAGTGCACACATTTATTTATGTCAATACACATCACTACACACCATGGTGCAGTTTCAAAACTCTTTTCTGCTCACACATTATTACATTAGAGAAAAAAACAGGGCAAATGGAGCAAACAGAAAGCAAGAGAGAGCTGAGAAAGACTTAACACCAGTTTTTAGAAAACTTTGAGTTGTTAGGGCGACATTCACACTGCAGGTCTTAATGCCCAATTCTGATCTTTTGCATTATTTAAATACGATGTGACATCACACGCAGTACACTGTGTTTAAAGAAGTAAATATGGATGCTACACATGTTCGGGTTGATTCTGAAATGCAATCAGAGAAAACTAAATTGTTTCGTCGAATGTTTACATTTGATCATCCTGCTTCCTGCCTACTCAGCTGCAGAACTGCACTTCTGGAATGAGAGCCACTTACTGAAAGTAAAAACAAAGACAAGTATTGATCTAATTATCAAAAGCAGAATCTGATTTATTGGCCAAGGATGTTGAAACACACAAGGAATTTATTTCCGCATGTTCATGTTTCTCCAAAATACATACAATTTGATATATAATGACAAAAGCACAATAGCGTAAAAAAATAAACTTAATACAATGTAGACAGACAATGTACATAATATACAGGCAGTTGTGCACTAATATGCTGGTGTAGTGTTGGGCAGTGTGACCAGTTAGGAGCAGTTCATCAGGGAGAGAGCCTGTGGGAAGAAGCTCTTCTATTATGAATACAATCCAACACCTTGGTAACATGTTTGTGTAAATTCTCAGTCATCCAGGACAGGACAGATCTAGAAAGTTTAAAGAATATGGAGCAACTGAACTTTCGCTCTGTAGGCTGAGAGATGAAGTGAGTTCTAAGCTTTAAATTACAGGGCGTTTGTATCAATATAGACATTGATATGGGCAAAAAAAGGTGGTTTGCATCACTTTTGCCTGCAGTGTGAACATAGTCTAAATGTATTTTTTGGTGCATTGATATTTTTCTGCTCATCTGCATCAACTTACAGTTTATAGGAAACGTCAAAAAATAACTATAAACTTCAGCAACGTGATCTTTTTCAGACATCCTTAGAGGAAGTGAGCGAAGCGAGCAGCACCTCGTCTTTCCCAGCCTGGTCTTCAGATAGCAACAAAACAGAATCAGAGTCATCATCCAGAGAGTTGACCCCAATCAGGGACAAGGACAGGAGCAAAGAGAGACAAAGGACAAAGGCAAGAGAAAGTGAAAAGCAGACAGATGTGACAATTACCAAAGAGCTTGTAGCTCCTGGTACCCATCCAGGCTGCCCTGCTGAGTTAGTCAAACAACAGACAGGAGAGCGTTTCATAGTTTTGAGTTAACAGATGTCGTATTCACACACTAAACTGCTGCTACAGTAAATATCTTTATCTCTCTTATTTAGAGAGATTTTTTTAAAGGTTTGTGCATTATTTTGCACTGCAGAGAACTGTGAGATCTCCTCCACATCCAACTCAGGAGGAATTTCCTGCAAAGAGAGCAAGAACACATGGTGAGTGTTGTGGGGGTGAAAGTCACTCTGTGCTCAATGTTGTTATCAGTGTTTGTTTCCCTGGAGACAACAAGAGGGTGTCCAAACAAAAGACTTTCCTAGTTGTCTGGTTTTAAGAAAGATACGGTAATTTATTGTATGTATTAAAATTTGTCCAGTTAATGATAGTAGTCTTTATCAGCCATACACATTTAATTTATTTTGCACATATTTTTTAAATTATTTACTCCTATTAAAAAGAAAATTGTAAAAGTTTTTGGCTTCACTGCAAAGTTACTGTGTACTGTGTATTTAAATGCCCCACCCATAGGAGTGACTCATGCTGAACAATGTGGTACAATATTGTTGAAACACAGTTTTAAATAAGCAGACTAACCTGTGACAGAGATTACGGTTACTTGTTTGCTGTCTCATTGTGCACCTGTCTGTTTGCTGCAGAGTCCATGGAGTTCAGCCTGGATGCCGACAGTCCCATCAACCCTCCCGTCCTCCCCTGCACACCTGACTTTTACCTCTCTCGCTGCCAGCAGGTACAATCCCTCTGTTTAAACGGTCAGCTCTGCAGGTCTGCAGAAGTTTTTAATCTTTTCTGGTTTACCTGGCTGTTCCCTCTTCAAGGATTGCCTCAGAAAGTCATCCTCTGTCTCATTCTGTTCTCACTTTGACCACATCCATGTTCTCTCTGACTGCATCCATATATCTCCTTTTTGTTCTTTTCCTGCCAGCTGCATCTCTAACATCCTTTTACCAATAAAACTGTCCCTCCTGTGCACAAATCATCTCAGTCTGTCCTTTTATGGTTTATCTATAGGGTCTAAATTAAGAAAAACAAACATTTTTTTCTGTGAAATTTGCATCACTCAGCAGAAAAAAACACGATAAAATAAGTTGAATTGTTTCACTTTTTTTAAACCTTTTTTTAAATCTCCTACAGTCTTACAGAATGAAATCCGCCCCTCGTGGCCTTGCCTTGGTTATCAGTAACGTGACCTTTGACTCTGGTGCTGCTCCTGACCTTGACCCAAGAAAAGGAGGTGAAGTGGATGACGAAGTCCTCAGGAAGGTTTTTACAGAGCTGGATTACCTCGTCAGTGTCCGCAGAGACCTTACAGCTCAGGTGAGACTCCGTTGAAATCTGATTAATGTTCTTTTTAGATGATCAGCTTAAGAAAGAAAAAATGTATGAACAGTGAGTTAATAATAAACCTGAGTATGTTTTTGACATAATTAGGAAACTTTAAGCAAGCTGATGCAGAAAATGCTACGTTTGTTTATTTGGCCCAGTTTACCTGCTCTGCTAGAGGGTAGCAAAAACATCTTCAACTATGTCAGAACAATCTGAGAGAAGATTATGTCTTTGCTTGTCTTTGTGCAGGACATGAGGACATGCATTGAGACATTCTGCAGGCAGTCAGAACACCGGACAATGGACAGTTGTGTGGTGTGTCTGCTGTCCCACGGAGTGGAGGGGGCAATTTATGGCACAGACGGACAACTTCTCCAGGTTTGATACATTGTGTTTGTGTGTTTTATCTTGTTCAATGGGAAAAACAGGGCTAATTTTGACATTTAAAAAATCAACATGGAATATTTGATCATTTTCAGCTGGACTGGGTGTTTGAGGCTTTTGACAACGCGCACTGTCCGCTGCTCCAAAACAAACCAAAGATGTTTTTCATTCAGGCCTGCAGAGGAGGTAAGAGATGATTCTGCAGTAAACATCAAATCCACATTAGAATTTTAGACTTAAATGCTCTGGATTTCTTGACATTTTATATGAAGAAATGAGCTGAAAGTGCCAGCCTCTCTTTCCTCGAGCCCAGATGTTGTCTGCTGTCACATTTCTGGCTGATGTAATTATCACAGTGGGTGGCATTTCATCAGCCATCCATCAGTCTCACAGCTCCACATGTAGATTGTGTCAAAATGTCACACATTCTGTTATCCTTACATCAAAGCTTGGTCAAAATGTGTTCTGAATTCAAAATGTATCTGTAACTTCGTAAACCTGCAAAATTCTACATACCTTCTGCTCATGAGCAGATAATATATGAAACTTTCTCATTTCCTATTAAAAGATTGAACATGAGCATTAAAATTAAAATGTTGTTATTACTTGTCATTTTATTTTAGATTGTTTTGCTCTCACAGTTGTGCCTAATTGAACGTTTCATATAATTGCACCATTAGAAAGAAATACAAACCACTTACAAAAAATTGTTGAAACCATTGAGCTGCAGTCTGAGCTGAACTCAAAACTTCCTCCTGGTCTGTGTAGACCTAATGTGCCCACTAGCTTGTATGTGATCAAAATTAAACTCCTAATGACAGCTTTGCTTTGAATCTTCAACCTTAACTGAAGGTAAAGTGGACATTTATATCAACCTGTGTTTTCAAGTCTGAATACATTTCTCCTCTTAGGAAAGGGATGAGGAGTCAGAAAGCTCCTTGCACGCACCAGAGCTCTGAAATGTTCACAGATGCGCATTATTTCCATAAAAGTTTTTGCACATTATCAAGAAAGCCTTGCAGTTTCTGGTGATTCCAAAAACCTGCTGAGCAAACTAAAAAGACTTCATGTGACTTCATGTTCACTCGACTGTGTTTGGCTAATCTGGGTTTTTGGTGTGTCAGATGAGATGGACTGTGGAGTGGAGCAGATCGACGGGCCAGCGAGGACCCTCTCCCCTAGCTGCGAACAGAGAGACGCTGGGAGGGAAGGAGAGGGGGATGCAGACACGACACAGAGTGGGGACCTGAGGAGGCCAAGAATTAAACTGCCCCAGCGCTCAGATATGATCTGTGGCTTTGCGTCTCTCAAAGGTCAGAAAATTTGTAAGTTTGTTTATTTTTACTACTCTGGTGTTTTTGAATTGATGAAATATGGATTTTTTTGTAAAATCAGGGAATGTGAGATGTTCAGCAGAGATGTGTACCGAGGCTACTGTAATTTCTTACTCAGTTAAGCAAATTCTGTCTGAAAACTGGTTTGAAGTCATCAGTAAAGGAAACTTTTTGCTTTCTCACAACAGTTTTGAAGTATTTGAAACAGTGAGATAAATTATTTCCTCTCCACAGCCCAAACAAAGATTAAAATTAGTTTTAAAAAGTTTTAAAACCTTTGATGCTTGAACATGTAAGTAGATTGCACTCAGCAGGTCAAGTGTTTCTGAACAAATTTCGGAGCACATTAAGCAGTCACTGGTTCCAGTGAAAAAGACAATAGACTCAAAACAATCTTGATCCTAATGATTGACTTTTGACACCTTTTTTTTTTTTTTTCAAAGTGGAACCACAAAGTCATTTTGCTTTAAAAGAAAGAAAAAAGCAAAACGTTCGGCAAAATCTGTAAAGTGTTTTACTACATAAGTTCCAAAGTTATAATTTATTGTTTATTAGGCAGTAAAGTTAGAAAATGATTATTTGGATAAATATTCGTGCTTACTGTTAAAGGGGCAATATTATGTGTTTCTCAGGCATGTATTTAAATACTATACCATAATAAAGTATCTATGTCACCTTTAGCTGTTATTAAAATGCAGTTTTTATGCTTAAATAGAAAATAAACTTTTCTTCTCATCACTTCCTCTTCTAAATGCCTTGAAATTGACCTCTGTCTCTTTAAGAACCACCTTCAGCTTCTGTCCCGTCCATTTTGGTGCGGGGGGCGGGGGGCAGGGTGGGGTCGCACGTGCGCCATGATGCAGTTTACTTGGCATCTGAAAAATACATTTCCTCAAAGGTATTTTGAATCTGAAAAGAGCTTCACTGAGTGAGAACTAATGTTGAGAGCAGCAGACAGTTTAAGTTTCACTTTCACTTGTTTGCTTTGTTACTGCTGAGAGCCTGCAGGAGTCATGGGCGGGGTGTGCGGGGTGGGGAGGTGTGCTCCATGATGAGGAAGTTCAGCTTAAAGACACGTCCCAGCCCAGGGGCGTTTCTGGTCCCCACCTGTCGTTTTGCTCCTCAGCATGGCTTCCTAAAAATGCTGCAGGATTTCTCAATCATGCAAGAATGAGTCAAAGCAAGGCTTTGGACATATTTTTATGAGAATATAACATTATAACATGAAATAAAACTCAAAAAAGTTGATATTGCCCCTTTAAAGGTTTGTTAGAATAAAGATGTAAAGAATTGCTGCTGATAATTTTAGTTTATGTAACAAGTCTCTACCAGACCTCATATGTGACCAAATGCATCAAATCAGGGATTAAGTCAGATTTGGTTCAAATAAACAGCACATTTTCAGATTTCTGACTTCTTAAGCTACATTTCTATCATCAGCAGTTCCAGAAAGACTTGATTTGTCTTGCTATTTGGGGTGACCCCTGAAAAATCAGTCTGAATTCTATTTTTAGTGTATCTGAATGAGGATTCCTTCATATCATTTGAAAGAAGAATATTTGGATATGGAGATTTCCCAGCTGGTATTGAAAACAGCTTGTCTGGCACAAGGGAAAGTAGTGAAAATAGTAGGCTATTCTGCTCAAAATCATTGTTAGTTGTTGGTACTGCTCAGAAAAGTGCTTCAAAACATTCTTTTGGATTATTGTTTGGACATTTCATTCAAAGGACCTGTAGAAAATACTGTATATTTTTTCATCATAATTTGAAAAAAATCCAATCAAAATGTGAAATATGTAAACTATATCTGCTTATTTCTCACTACACTAATTTGCAGCTTAATCCTCAGTTTTATGTGACCAACCACACTATAGCTCTCTATGTCGTTTCGATGTATTAAATTTTATTTTTGTCTTTGCGTTCTTAAGGCACAGCAGCCATGAGAAACACTAAGAGAGGGTCCTGGTTCATCCAGGAACTCAACTCAGCACTCCGCCTTTGTGCCAGAGACACACACCTTGCAGACATCCTGGTGCAGGTGAACAGTGATTCCATTGTACTTGCTGTTATGATTTGAATAAAATGTGTATAATTAAAACGTCCTTCCTGTTTTAAAATGTTGTTCCTCCAGGTCAACAGGCGTATCAAAGAGAGGGAGGGTTACGCTCCGGGCACGGCCCACCATCGCTGCAAAGAGATGTCGGAATTCACCAGCTCCCTCTGCAAAGACCTCTTCCTGTTCCCCAAGTACCAGCCTCAGTATTGACAAACAGCATCGCACTTCAAATAAACCCTGATCATTCCACAGAGTGAATGAAGCCTTTCAGTGAAAGACACAACTCAGCACAGCACCAAATACTGCCACATTCCCCTTGTTTAAAAACTTACAGTACAGCGGCTAAAATAAGTATTGAACACGTCACCATTTTTCTCAGTAAATATATTACTAGAGGTGCTAATGACATGAAATTTTCACCAGATGTCGGTAACAACCCAAGTGATCCATCAAACCATAAATGTCCAGAAATGAAGTTATTTGTAAT